TAAAAAAGGAACCACTCGTCACAATGAGTTCAAATTTGAACTGAAGATACTTGTAGAAGGAGAACACGGTACGGCATAAAAAAAATTCCAAAGTGCATTAAAATATACGGCTGTAAGAGGCATAAAGAAAGTGAATTCGACTGCCACTGATATTTTGAATCGAAATTACATCGTATTTGGCATGAGTGTTGTATCAACTGTAGTGTTCATTGTGCTCGATTTTCGGTATTTTGACGGAAAAATGACTTCCAAGTCATTCAACAGCTGTTAGTGGAAAACCAATCCACCACGGCAAGGTCAAAAATCGGTGGAGTTCAAATTTGAATTGAGAATACTTAAAAGAAGGGGGGAACGGTATAGCATAAAAAAAAAGTTCAAAAAAAATTCCACAGATTTTCCCATCCAATTTGGTATGATCTTGTCGTAGTGGATGGGCTTTCCACTAACAATGTCACAACTGTTGAATGACTTGGAAGTCATTTTTTCCGTCAAAAAACCAAAACTATCAAGCACATTGAACACTACAGTTGGTTTAATGTGCAACTCAGGCCAAATACGTTGTCATTTCGATTCAAAATATCACTGACAGCCGAATTCAGTTTCTTTATGCCGTTTACAGCGCCATCTATTAATGCACTTTGAAACTTTTTTGATGGCGTACCGTTTTTCCTTTCTCCAAGTATCTTCAGTTCAAATTTGAGCTCATTGTGGCGAAAAAATTGTTCCGTCAAAAAACCGAAACAATCAAACACACGAGAGCACAAGAGAGTGGTATTGATGTATCTTAAGAGGATTTTTAGGACTAAATAATCTTATTCTGAGTATTTTCAAATGTTTCTTTTATGGAGAAGTTTAAAAAATATCTGCAAACTTTATTTAATTTTATTTTGAAAATATCTGCAATAACAATCTACATTACTTATTTAAATTTCCTAGGATATTTCTTATATCAGTTAATGAAACTTAATGACCTTTTTAAGTAAATTCAGAGCAAAAATAAAATTCTTGTTTTAATGACTTTCTTTTTGGGCTTTTTCGTACTTTTAGAGCCTTTTTCTATCCTAAAAGAAAAAGACTCTAAAAGTACGTCGCACAGAATAGGAACGAGAAAATCCCAGAACGTCTAATTTTGTACAGATTCACAAGAATAAATTCTTCGGCTGTTCAGAACAGTCATTTTTTTTAATTCAGAACTATATACAGGGTGATTATAATTAAAGTCCCACTTTCAAAATGCTGTAAAAAAAAAAGAACCACTCGTCCCAATGAGTTCAAATTTGAACTGAAGATACATGAAGAAGGAGGAAATGGTATGGCATCAAAAAAAAAAGTTCCAAAAAAATTTCCACCGATTTTTGACTTTACCGTGGTGGATTGGCTTTCCACTAACAACTGTTGAATGACTTGGAAGTCATTTTTTCCGTCAAAATACCGAAACAATCGAGCACATTGAACACTACAGTTGGTTTAGTGTGCAACTCATGCCAAATACAGTGTCATTTCGATTCAAAATATCAGTGGCAGTCGAATTCATTTTCTTTATGCCGCTTACAGCCGCATATTTTAATACACTTTGGAATTTTTTTTTTTATGCCGTACCGTGTTCTCCTTCTGCAAGTATCTTCAGTTCAAATTTGAACTCATTGGGACGAGTGGTTATTTTTTTTACAGCATTTTGAAAGTGGACTTTAATTATATAACAGCCAATATAATTTACTTGTTATTATTTTTTTTTTAAATTCAAATTCTTCGCGAAATCGATCTCTTGTGGTAGGATTGCAGTTCTCTTCATTTAGATTCGCACCATTGGCGTACATTGGCGAAAAACATTTTTGTCGTCAAATACTAACGTCCCCTATTCTGCGATTTTACCGAAACTCGTAACATCTAACCAACTAAATATAATATATGTATGTATATAACAACCTGTATATAACAGCCAAATTATGCGGCGATTTCGTATTTAAAACTAAATTATATCCATGCTCATAAAGAGTGTCGTTATTTTTTAATGCAAATTATTTTGATGTAAAGCCATTTGCCACTGTAAAAGCAGAAGGGTAGGGTTCAGCGTTACCCAGAATGCATCACTGGGAGCCTGTTACACAGCATCTATCTTTTGTCGTTACAATTTGAAATTAGCATCCCCAGGGATGATGCCATTTGGAGGCTGGCACCCTTCGCTCCTATTTGAATCCTACGAAAGGAAGTGCCAGTGCCTATTCAAAGTCCGGAAGTTTGTGGTTCGGTTTTGTTTATCGGAATTCGAACCTTGGTTTCCTAGTTTAGAAACCAAGTCTTCTATCTACCAAACCAAACAGCTCCAGCCCTTGTCCATAAAATAGTTATAATAATAAAAAACACATTGCATACATTGAAGAATTTTTTTGTTTTTTGTTCTAATGCTGCAGCTAGCAAACACTTAGATAATTGTTTTCGATGCCTTAAGGAAAGCGCTGAACCGATTATTTATTAAAACATTGATAGTTAAAGTATATATTTTTGTTGTTCTAATGCAGCTGGCAATACAGAGACAGTTAATCTTTATGCCATAAGCAAGGGCTGCACCGCTGTTACTCATTTAGCCCTACCCAGGGGGCTACGAAAGCGAGTAACACTACCCCCGCAACGCTCTACGATTTTATTAGACCAGGACCTGCGGTTTAAAGTGGATTCCTAACCTCTACAAGCCTCCATGGCACCGCCGGGACTCGAACCTGAAACCTGGGGTACCGAGAGCCAGAGCGCTAGCCACTTGGCCATCAAGACTTCGTTACAGTATATGTATATATATATATATATATTCTGGTGATCCTCATTTTTACAAGTCCATGTCCTAATAGTCCACGAAAAAGATAGACTTTCAAGGGGTGATTTACAGGAAGGATGAATTGTATGAGAAAAAGCCCTGAAAACTCCCACCATACAAACTGTTGATGCAACAAGCTTATACATGCTGTTCCAATGACTATCGAGTATTCTTGGTTTTGAAGCAGTAACTATAACATACGTCGCTAGGGGATTCGAACGTGGTCGTGCTATGTCACGAATCGTGTTGTTATAATATTCATAACAACTTATCTTTAAATTAAACATTAATTTACCATGTAATTTCAATTACGATATTTTCAGAAAAAATATATTAACAGAAAATTACATTCAACTGCTTATGAATCATAATTGCTATTGCATGAGAGTAAGTATTGTCCTGATATGAAATAGTGACCTACGAAACTCTATGTGAGTGACATATTAGATATAATTTGTAGAAATTTATGTGGAGCGCGTGTTATTATCTATAACAAATTGTCAACTGAGAGTTTTTGCCTACCTTTGTAGTAATATTAAATCTTCACTCACATTAAATCTGCTAGTTTTTATTGTACTGTTTAAATAAATAAATTATTTCTCGTGAAAGATATGATCGAAAAATTTATCTTTGGCGATAATTAATGGTGTGCAAAAATAATTTTTAACAATTTACGTGTAATGTGCATAAGTTTGAATAATGGATTTTATTGTTTTTGTCACTGAAAGTTTTAATTAACATTATATGTTTAAGAAATTTGTTTAACTTTGTTAAAAAGTATACACACTAAAAAATTAACGAGTACGACATAATGTCATATCCACTTAAAAACAAAACAAGTAATATATATAAAAAAAAATTTAAAGTTAATTCCTCCTTTTTTTAACACTACATTGCAGAAAGTCCTTTATAAATAATTTTCATTCATTAAGTTTATCTGGCGAGCCATCTATTGGTAGATATATGCAACTTAAATCTGAGAAAAACTAAAAATAATTAATTAAATTTAATTACTGAATTAATACTTGAAAAAACTGTATCAACATCCAGTGTCATCCACTACAAGTTCAAAAAAAATGTATCTGAACTTGAGGGGATGAATAAAAAGTGTTTTACTAACGATTGAAAATTTGAACAAGATATACACTCAAGAGCCAAAACATTATGACCACCTGTCAATAACGAGTTGACTCACCTTTGGCGCGCAACACAGCTTCAACCCGCCTCGGCATGGATTAATACCACCACTTAATACCAGTTAAATACCACTTCCACCTGATCACGTGCCTTCCACGTCATCCAGGCGAGTTCATGGCGAAATGTAGGGGTGGTCATAACGTTTTGGCTCTTGAGTGTATATAGGGAGAGCGTGATCTAATAGAAGGAATTGAACAAAGAATCTCAAAATGCAATGCAACATTTATTTCAACAAAAACAACAGGCAGTTTATGTACATCATTTTATGACTTTTTCTGCGTTTAGTAACCGTATCTCAGGTATCCCAATCCTCCCAAAAGCCCACTTCCGAGATTGTAACCATACAAGCCATGGGGGGCAGCGGCATGACCGTAGACGGCATAAGGAGCTGCATAACCGTATCCATGGTGACCATGATGTCCATCAACGACCACTGGGGCAGCAACATGACCAGCGTATCCATGTCCAGCATATCCATGTCCAGCATATCCGTGACCAGCATATCCATGATCATAAGAAGGGGCATCAGAGATCATGTGAACAGCTGCAGGGTTCTGATTGGCTGTACCAGGTTCGTTGGTCTTGACCTGTGCTCTGAAGCCTGCGTGGTCAGCTACGTAGTTTACCTGTCTGTGCACCCCTCTGTCGTCAGTGAAGCCATAGCTGCCCTTCACTCCATGTCCGTCTCCGGATTCTTCTCGGTGCTGTTCCCCATGGTGGTCCTTTACACTGTAACCGAAGGCATAGGGTTGGGGAGCGTGGTGTTCCACATGATGCACTGGAACATGATGTACCTGGAAAAGATCCTGAGTTATTTTCAGTCCTCTAAAGTTTGGTAATTTAATGAAATTACTCTACTTAAGAGCAAATTAACACCGCTTGGGATTTCAAGGAATTTGTAAGGAGGCAACTGGCGTGGATTACGGAGTACCAATGGGGATAGATCCCTTAATCTCTTCCTTATCTTAATTCATAGATAAAATTAACAATCATGATACTAGTTCTCGTTAGATCACCGAAGTCAAGCATCATTGGGCGCGGTCAGTATTGGGTGGGTGACCACCTGGGAACACCACGTGCTGTTGGCATTCACAAATTTTGGGACCTCAATGGCCGAGTATCTAGCGCTCTGGCGCTCGGTGCCACAGGTTTCGGGTTCAAATCCCGGCGGTGCCATGGATGTTTGTAGTGGTTCGGAATCCACTTTAAGCCGTAGGTCCCCGTCTCCTATGACTGTAAGAGCGTCACGGAGCCAAAGTCAGACTTCTACCTTCGGGTGCTCCATCACAACAGAAGCTGCTTCCTTCCCCTTCAATCATGAGTACGTATGGGCTTGTGGGATTGGCCAGCCAAGTGGGATAAGAAACAACAACAAACATAAAAATATAACAAGATAAAGTTTCAAAAAATTAGAATATGGTACTCGAAAAAATTAAAAAATACTAAAAATAAATAAAAGTAAAATGCAAAATAAAAATTTTAAAATTAAAAATAAAGCAATTTAAGTTTAAATTCGATACAATTAGGGACCAGTCGTCGATGCCACAAAACTATTGAATATATAAACACAGTGATCAAATGCTGAACGGTGGGAGCCCACAATGGTGTAGATTGTAAGGACTAGCATCACATATCTACGCAATTATCGTCACACAATTTCATGAATGAGCAAATTTTTTTAGGATTTTATACTTATCGTAAGAATGATTAACATGTTCAATGGCCACAATGTTTTCCTACTATGCTTCTCAAATTACAAGCTTCTTTAGTGGAGACTGATTTGAGGCCGAAATATTTCTTTCCTTCATGTTTCCCTCAAAATATTAGAGATGTTTTGGATTTAATTTTCTCTCTCAATCTGAGTGGCTCATTTCTCTGAGCTCTATAGTTCTAAAAAAATGAAAATTAACAATTGAAAATTATTCGTTACAAAGATTCTTTAAAGTTATAGATACTCTATTACCCAGACAGGGAAAATGATAGAAATAAAAGCAGTTTCCTGTTTGATAGTTATTTTTCTACAAACTACCAACAAGCTGTTGATGATTAGGCATCTTCGGACAACGTGAGAATTCTCGTCAATTAATTAATTTCCCGAACGTTAATAGGTCCACATGACCGCTTTAGGCTCAAAACAGCATTGCCGTCTAGGCACTTGTTCAGGTTGCTAAATAGGGCAAACTCATCTACATTTTCGTGATCCCTATAAACACCCTTGCTTGGATGATAGCCTTCATTTTAAGAGTATTCTGTAGCATTTTTTATCTCACGGGAAGAGTTTTGTCATTTCATTCTCTGCAGAGAGGAAAGTAGGTTCTTTGATAAGTACATAATCCATCGCCCAAATTTGACAGCAGATAAGCAGTGTTGTGGGTAGTTATGTTTCACTCAATCAGTGTTTTGCACTAATGAGAACAACCTGTCGCTCAAATCTAATAGCAGATATTCGGTATCATGTAGAGTGAGACTCATGAAATTAACGATTGTCTGCGCGACCTTCACACGTAGATATATATATCACAAGTTGTTCCACTGTGATTGGTGATAGACCACGAGCTGAGAAATGAGGGAAGTCTCTCCCCCCTCCCCTCTTGACGGATTGACTTAAAAGGAGATTTCTGGTGAAGAAGAGAGTTCTGCTACGAGTTATCCCGAATTGTTTTTTTTTTCCCCGCTGAATTGAGGAGTTCATTAATAATCTTTACAGATTGAATTGTTTTCCAAATTAAGATTTTATTTACTTACCAATGGATGATGTTGTGCGATGACAACGCCTAAAGCAAGAGCAAAGATGCAAACCTGAAACACAAAACATTCACTTCAGTTAAAAACAAAAAAAATTTTGACAAATCATTTGCTAACAAGAGCATTTTAAATTTTTTTTACTGAGTAAAAATATGTAAATATACGTACTCAAAATTATAAATTAGATATAAATATATTTTTAACATCTACTGAGGAAAATGTAACTTATTTAATGAAAATGATTTAATGTATCTTACATTTAATGCACTTGTAAAGTGCATATTATTTTTTTAAAAATTCAGACATTGACTACTCATGGTGAATGTATTGAATGTTAATCAAATGCATATATACCATGCATACCATATACCATATTGCCATACTATGCATATATCATGCATACCAAAGCAAAAGGCTTAAAAAGAGAGCGAAACAGAAAAAAAGAGTGTTTTTCTGGACATTTTTCTAACTATAATTGGTTGATAGTTATATTACAAGCGAGGAAAGACATGAAACACTTAAGCAGCAAACTAACGACAAGTAAAAATTTTGCCAAAGCTGATATTATATCTGTATTTGTACTCATAAGCGATACGTTAATTATTAGACGAGATTCAAGCAAATATAGTTAAAAGAATAGCCAACTGAAAGAGGGAACAAATATTGAAATTATGATGAAGAGTGAAAGAAGATATTTTTTTATCAAGTGAGATAACAAGACTGATAAATTTTTTATCTCCAAAAGTGTTAAAATTGGAAGGACCTAAGTAATATCAATAATAATAAGAAGAAAATTGTATGTTGTGTGCTGAAATTGTTTGCTTTGAATTGTAATGTTTGAAATTGTATGCTTCCAATTTTATAGGGTTGGCAACTAAGTGATTACGGAATTTGTCAATATATGGTCTTAGCCCATTCTTTTATTTTGTCAACGTGTTCAAGACACCTAATCTATATTCTTGTTTGGACATTCGCCTCTAATTTAGTAAAAAAATTATATCGATTAGTTATTTAGTTTGGTTTTTATTCCAATTTACAAATGTAAGAACAGGACACGCATTTCATGCTTATTTTATTGTATTATTTCCGAAAAGGCAAGAGCGCATAGCAAGCAGACAAGAAGTTATGTGCCGTATATCGGAATGAAGCCTTGAAAGAAAGGCAATGTCCCAATTGGTTTGCCAAATTTCATTCTGGTGATTTTTCACTGAAAAATGCGCAACAACCTGACCGTCAAATTGAAGTTGATGAGGCCCATATCAAGGCCATTATCAATTCAGATCGTAACGGTACAATACGTGACTGCAGTGGATTCCCTCCCATGTGGGCATCTACGGAAATGAAATTGCTGATCTGCTCGCTAGGGAAGGTTGCGAACTTCCCAAAGCTTCTTCTTCCAATCTGTTAGCTTCAGAGGTTCATTCCATGACTTTAGCCAGAGTGAATACCTCTTGGAGGTCGCCACCAATTCATGCATGGTACGCCGCTAAATATCCTGGTATGTCCTTGCAGTGCTCCTGTCCTAGACCTGCTCAAACGGCTTTAGCTAGACTAAGGACTGGCCACACTAAGAGTTTGACCTTCAATGGAGACGAGAAGACATATACCCTTTGTCATTGTTCGGCCATCGCGTCTCCCTCTCATCTCATCGATTGTATGGGTGCCTCTGTGAGGCAACTGTTGAATGAGGGGAGGACAGTTTACGATCTATTGATGCAGCATGATCTACTGGACTTGATTTAGGATTCTAAATCAAGGGGATAAGCAACAGCAACACAATACGTGAGATTGTAGAGAAGCTCTATGTATCGCATACATGCATTCAAAAAGCATTTAAACAGCTTGGATATGTCAAGAAACTCGATTTATGGATCCCTCATGGGCTTAAGGAAATTCATTTGGCGCAACGCATTAACATCTGCTATTCGCTTCTGAAACGCAATGAAATTGTTCCATTTCTGAAACGACTGATAACTGGCGACAAAAAGTGGATAGTTTTAAAAAACTTTAATCGGTAAAGATCGTGGGTGATGCAAGATGAATCTGTATAGACGACACCAAAAAGTTGAGATTAAAAAAAAAAAAAAAGATTATGCTATCAGTTTGGTGGAATTTTGCACTTTGAAATTTTAAGAAGAAACCAAACGATTAATTCAAGCGTGTATGTCCAAGAAATCGTCAAACTGAGCGATGCAGTTCAAGAAAAACGACCTGAATTGGCAAATAATAAAGATGTTGTTTTCCAACATGATAATGCAAAGCCCCACACATCTTTAGTCCCTCGTCAAAAAGTATTAAAATGGGGATTATTAGGATGATATATTAGGATGTGATGTATTGTCACATCCACTATACAGCCCTGACTTTGCGCCTTCAGATTACCATATATTCCGTTCCATGCAGAAATCTTTAATGGTAAAATTTTTAATGACGCTGATGATGTAAAATCACATTTAATTCAGTTTTTTGCTGGAAAAATCAGAAGTTTTATGAATACGGAATTATGACACTGCCTGAAAGATGGTAAAAGGTCATCGACAAAAACGGACAATAACTAATTGAATAAAGTTGTATTTTTAAATTAAAAAATCTGCAATCACTTAGTTGGCAGCGCAATAGATTTTAATATGCCCGATTTTTCCTGCCTGATTCGTGGCTCAGTGGCAACGCGCGCAGCTAGTGAGCATTAAGGCTCGTGCTCACCAAGGCGAGAAGATGCAAGCGAACAAATTTAACCAATCACTAGCCTCACCGCGGTCGCCTGAAACCGGTTTGCAGTCCGCCGCTTGGAGTTGCCCAACTTTCAACTGGAAGCGGTTTTTCACTAGGCGTAATGCTATTTCTGACGTTTCGCTGTGGAGGGGTCAAAAACATTTTGTCGCTTGCCTCTTGAATCTTCACGTCTCTCGCCTCGGTGGGAACGAGCCTTTAGGGTTGAAATTCCATCCGTTGGCGGCTTTGTTGTAGACACTTTTCCAAAAAACGATTTGGCGACGCCGTTTATGATGTTCGATGGCGACTATGATGTTTAACATCTTGATTCGCTAATCGGACTACCTGGTGGGAGTTTTCTGCGATTTCTCCAATATTATACGCAAATACGAGGTAGTTTCCAGTAAAAGTCCTCCCGAAAGGCACTGCCCTCCTTCTTCAGCGTCACAGAGCCAAGTCAAACTTCTCCCTACGGGTGCTCCATCACAACAGAAGCTATCCCCTTCCCCTTCCATGACACGGGTTCATGGACTTGATCTAGATGTTGCTGTCGATCAACCGATTTTAATATTTTAAAACTTACTTTTAGTTTCGAAACAATTTTTATTATTATTTAATACAAATAATA